GCTGGCAGTCCCCAAAGGCCTCAGAGACAGAGGTCAGATGAGGATTCAGACAGTGACCAGCCATCCAGAAAGAGAAGGCCCTCGGGTTCTGAACAGTCTGACAATGAATCGCTGCAGTCTGGGAGAAGTCGCTCGGGAGGTTCTGAGGCTGACTCTCATCCGGCCTCTCCAAGCGCCGAGTCAGATCGAGATTCGGAGAGAGGATCTGATAATGAGGGTTCTGGCCAAGGCTCTGGAAATGAATCAGAACCAGAGGGATCCAACAATGAAGCCTCCGATCGGGGCTCAGAACATGGGTCAGATGATAGTGACTAGGCTTTATTTCATAAATAAGTCTCATCTCTGGAGGAAACTCTTTTAATATATGAAAGCTGTGATTAAAAAAAAAAGTTTCAAATGTTTAGTCAAACAGTTGTGAAATTTTTCCTAAAACAATTTTTTTTCTATCTGTTTGTATATTGCTGAGCCCCCACAAGACATTTCCTGTGCTAGAATCCAATATTTGAATCTCTTGTGCAGATGAAGAATGTGACTCTTCTTCATTATGGTACAATTCCACCTATCATATGTGAAAACTGCAGTAAAAATAAACGCAGCTGCTAAATCATTCCTACAAAGGTTTGACTGAAACTGTGGCAGAAGTCTCATCTTCTTTGTGTGTTAAGCAGCATCCAGTTTTGACTTTTATTGCAATCCTTTACCAAGTGGTGCAAGAAACTTGGCATTAATGTCTGTGTTCCATTTTAATCTTAGAGTGAGAGAATTTTATTTTCTGGAGGAAGCAGTATCTACTGTATAATTGCACCAAAGTACAAATGAAAGGAAGGTTTTCCTCAGTAGTGTAATACTGCAGCCATGTAGATAAAATCACAAATATATACTTTGTTAGGTTGAATAAGATGTAGAAAAATGCTTTTCTGTTAGTAGAATGTAAAGAGCTACCTAAGCTACATAATAAAATTCTTTTACCAACTTTTATGGGTAACTGTGCCTTTTTTTTTCTCAGTACATTTGTATATGAAAATTTAGCAGAAATAAACTAGGCTAATATTTGGAAGAACCTGAATTATGCCAAAGGTGGTTTGCTCGAAACATTTGTACATCTTTATAGATTTGTGGAGTTTTTTGAAAGATGTAAGAAAACGAAGGTACTAGTATGAATTTTATTTTCAATAATTTAGTCATTAACAATTTAAGAGCAAAATTTTTGTGTAGCACTATACAGTTGGTAAAAGCTGTAATTAATATAGTCAACAGGTAATGAATACATTATTAGGTATTGAGAATGGAGAGAGAGAATGTCTTTCCTGCCCTGAAAAATCTAGTGGTGAAGGTAAGGTCACTGTCCCTATGGTGTGAAAAATCAGGTAGCGCTGGCACAGGTTGTGGGAGCACAAGGGAGCGCGAAGTCAAGACCAGGTTCCCTGATGGACGGGAGAGCTGAGATAGCTCCAAGGAACAGCCAAGTGGAGGATCCAGGGAGGGTGTTACAGGCAGTGGTAGTCGCATGTGCAGCTCTAGGAACTGAAACAACTGAGGGAGGCGAGGCTTTGAAAGGTAAAGAGCCTGAGATTCAGAAGGTGAGGTTCAGACTGTCTGCTTTTTCCAGTGTCCCATGGAACTGAGATGAATTCATACCCAAATAACAAAAATCTATCAAAGTTAAAAAGCATTTTCCAACTGATAGCTCACAGCTTTAAGCAGTATCTAAACAAAAGTATATTGGTAAATCATCCTTTGGAGAGCTATTTATAGAGAGATTTAACCTGATGCTGATAGTAATTTGTTTCACTACCTGCTCCAGGTTTGGGCTAAAAGGCGCTTTTGAGTGTATGTCCTCATTTGCAATTTTGGAGGCAATTCCACATTACTATGGATATTTCTCCCAGGTGTACCCTCAGATTAGCAGAAAAGCACTAGTTTTCCAGAGTCACGTGGTTGCCCATGTCAGAAGCCACTGTGGTTTCAGGTGCAGCTCCCCTTCGGCCAGAGTTTGGAGGCTGGAGATGACAGATACCACAAATAGGGGGGATGCCCCACTGAGGAAGGGGAGGGTCCCTCATCTGACAAAGGAAACCTGACTGACCTGTTTGCTCTGCTGCCACTTGTCCTCAGACTCAGAGCAGCTTCATTGTCCTGCATTGAGCCTGCATGCCAGGATTAGCCTTCCTTGTTTTTCTAAGTATAATTGACATAACATTAGTTTCAGGTGTACAGTGTGATTTGATATTTGTTCATACGGCAAAATGATCACCACATAAAGTGTAACATCTGTCACCAGTTACACACTGTCTATGGGAAACAGTATGGAGTTTCCTCCAAAAATTGAAAATAAAACTACCATATAACCCAGCAATTCCACTTCTGGGGATTTGTTGGATAAAAAGGAAACACACAGAAGGATATCTACACCCCTGTGTTTGTTGCAGTGTTATTTACAACCTATATAATGGAAACAGCCTAAGTGACTGGCTGGCTGGCTGGCTAAAGAAAACGTGAAGCACATTGGCAGGCAGCTCCTCAGGCAGCAGCTATGATGATAAGCTAATCATAGCCTCTGTCACAGAAAGACTGGGGTCCTGGCCTATTAACTCTTGCTGAGCCCTGGGAGGTACAGCTGTGTGAGATACCACTGGATGAAGTCAGAGGGAGAACGCAGAGATTGCAGGCACCTGCATTGCAGGCCTCTGTTCTCAGAGAGCAGCTCCATGGATCCCCAGGTGTGTGCCAAACCAGGCGCCCTCCCCTTAGGCCCAGGCTCCGAGGCACGCAAACAGGTCTCTTTCACAGAAAGGCAGGGTTGGGGTTGCAGGGGCAGGGTCCCGCTGTCTGTGCAGTGCCCAGGAGTTGGTGGCCGACCAAGAGCTATCTCTGATGTTAGAGTTCTGTGGGACCAAGGAACACAAGCCCTTCTCCAGAGCCAGGGGATCACGCGGTGTCCCTTAGGCAGCAACCACAAAAACTGGGCCCAGAGGTGTAAGAACCAGGGCACCAGCCACGTGTAGAAGCTCCCTTCGGGAAGATACTGGGGCTCTGGAGGGCAACGGCAGGAAATGGGGGGACTGAAAATGGTGAAGGCAAAAATGGCACCCATCAAAAAAGGCAAAAATGAAAAGAAAGAAAAAAGCCTTTTAGCTTCAGCAAGGCAGAGAGCAGGAGGACAGAGGGCACCGGCCGGCTGGAGCAGGAAGGCGGCAGCCCCAGGAGAAAAAGATGGCGCCCGTGGCCCAGCTTCCCGGAGGGTATCCCCTCAGGCCTCTCCCTCTCCCCTGGGGCTTTAAAGGTAGCAAGTGAGCCTCTTTCACTTAAAGTCAGCATTTTTCTTTTCTTAAAAAGATGTTATTTATTTATTTATTTTAGAGAGAGAAGGAGAGGGAGAGAAGCAACTGCAGACGTCCTCTTGACCCAGCCGCAACCCAGGCTTGTGCCAGTGCCTGCGAATCCAACGGGTGACCTTTCGCGTTGTGGGATGACACCCCACCCACTGAACCACACCGGTCAGGGTTAGAGCCAGCACCTTTCAGGGGCTACTTCTGCACTGGACCCTGGGTGAGTGAGTGCTCACAAGCCTGTTTCTCAGTTCGCCGTGGTCCCCGGGTCTTTTGGGCACCAGCCCTGTTGGTTTTCATAGCTAGATGTTTTGGAGGCTCATCTTTCTGGTGCAAGTCTTAAAAGTTGGGGTGTCTTACATGGGGTACAAACTCTTCGCTCCTTGGAGCAGCTCTGGGTTGTGAGTTCCCTCCTGATTGTGGGTGGGAGTGGGGTTTATGGCGAGATTATGCCAGTCTTTCCTATCCTCTCTGATGTGTTCTGTTTCTCATTTGCCTGAAGAAATCAGTCTGCTAGTTTTTAGGGTTGTTTTTTTTTTTAGGGGAACTTGTTTGATATGTAGCTGTAGTTTTGATGCCTCCTTGGAGGGCTTGACCTCAGGATCTTCCTATGTTGCCACCTTGACCCTGGACCTCAGCCTTCCCCTTCTCTGGGGGTCGGTGTGAGCAGGAGAAGGCATCAACACCTGAATACCTGGTTAAGGGCAGACACACTGGAATCCAGGAGTCCCTGGAACAGTCCCAAAATCTCATTTTGTCACGCTGGCAAGTCCTGTTGTTACCAAACAGCGGTTGGGGTCCTGCTGCCCACCACCACCCTCTAAAATTCCAGAGGCAAAGGTTTGGTGATAAAGGAAAGGAGTCTTTATTTAAAAGCTTCACAATTTTGGAATAATCGCTTCCCACAGGCATTAGTCATGTAAGCCTATCCGTTAAGGCTAAACTCTTTAGCTCTTTAGTTCCAGCTCTCTCGCTTAAACCTATCAATGAAAGCTAAACTCTTGAACACCTGAGTTCCCCTAGCATTGCCCCTGTTAGTTTTTAATTATCTTATTTCTAATAGGGTAGTTTACAAATTAAAACAACATAAAATAAAGAAACTACCCAGTTTTGGAGGAACGGCAGGCTTCTGCCTCACAGCTCGTCCCCTCTAGAACACTGGGCCAGCCTGATCCTAGGCTGCTCCCAGAGCTCCTTCCCATCCAAAATACTGTCCTTTGGGAAACTCTGGCACCTGCAGCACGATCACCCCTGGCCCTCGTAGAAGAGCCCCAGAGTGCCAGCCCTTGTTATTTCTTTGGGTTCTGGTTCTGGAGGCTTTCAGCTTCTCAGCCGAGACTGTTTACCATTGTCTTGGGCAACCTCCTCCTACGGCCCCTCCCTAGTTCTCCACAGGATCTGCCCAGATCTCGCTGCATCTATGTGACCTTGGGCAAGTCACTTCCTCATCTAAAACAAGCCATTTCTCCTCAACTTTTTTCCTTTTAATTTTATTTTGTATGGGTTTCAGGTGTACAGCTTAGTGCTTAGACAATCATATATGTAGTGTGCCCCATGATATTTTCAGTACCTCTACGGGCACCATATATAGTTATTGCAATATTATTGGCTATATTTCCTATGCTTTACTTCTCCGTGACTATTTCTAACTACCAATTTGTGCTTCTTACTAAAAATATGGGACACTTAACGAATTTGCATGTCATCTTTCCCCAGGGACCATGCTAATCTTGTATCATTCCAATTTCAGTATATGCGCTGAGAAGTGAGCACTGCACTGTAAGTTTTGAAAGCCTCAGTTGGATCTATCACAACTGGAGAATGTGAATTGCATTGGCTTTGATGTTACCATATGTTGCCATGTATAATGTGCATCCACGTTTTTGTGTGTGTTATACATGGCATTATATGCCCCTGGTATGTAACCATTATACCCATGTATAATGCACATCCTTATTTTTCCCTCAAAAATTTGGGCAAGAACGTGTGCATTATACATGGCAAAAACATGGGCCATCCAGCACTACATCAAGTACCACACCATAATTAGAGCTGTTAAGTTTTAAAATGAATTTTGCCTAAATTTAGGCAAGAAAAACCACATTGTTATTCTGACTCTGTTAGCTAAATCACTTCCTCCGCTGACATTACTATTTTTATAACATGAGGTTTCCTAAGTGAGCAACTATCCCATTATAGCAGAAGTCTCTATCTAATTCATAGGATGGTTGCAAGGATTAGGAAGGTAGATTCAGTGGTGAGCATATGGTAGGTTCCCAGAAAAGTCCCCTCTGGGATCAGGTTGGTTCGGAATGTCTGGCAGTGGTCATCAAGCTCACTGAGTCTTGTTTAGACCAACAGGGGACTGGGTCGGTTATTCTTTCATATGTCCTTCTCTTAAAAATTCTTGCTTCTTCCTATTTCCCCTTAAGAAAAAAAAAATTTATTGATTGATTTTAGAGAGAGGAAGGGAGCAAGAAAGAAGGATAGATTTGTTGTTCTACTTATTTATGGATTCATTGGTTGCTTCTTGCACATGCCCTGACCGGAGGTTGAACCCGCAACATTAGCGTCTGGGGACGATGCTCTAACTAACTGAGCTACCCGGCCAGGGTTTGAGAAGAATATTTTTAATCTCCAGGCAATATGACTTTCCTGCCACTATTTAAGTATCCCTTGTTTTCATTCCACTAATGAACAATTTCTTCCTTGGGAGAGAATGTAGCCCTTGGAGGCAAGAAAGACCTTTTAAAGGAGAGGAGTATCAACTCCTTAAACTAGGATTTGGATCACAGGCCAGTGCAGATTTTCCCTAATGGAGGTTCCTGATGCTCTGGTGTTCTGGGTGTTAGGGCGGTAGCACACGTCAGTCATGGTGCTTGCCGTATAGCTCAGGAACACAGGAAAGGGGATGTGCTACAGGTACACCAAGTTCACGTAGATCTCCGTGTGTCCTGTGACTTGAGTGGAGCAGTGAACAGACTGCCCCCCTGGCATCAGGGTCTCACTTTGCAACAGGCCCTGACGATAAGAAGGCTGCCCTGGCTTTTGACGCGCATTGATGTGACAAAATGCTTCACTTTTCAGCCTCAGTATCCTTATCTATAAAATAAGGTTGTTGGAGATCCTTCTAAGTTATATATCCCAGGGTCATTGCAGAGTTTTATTATATTTTACTTATTTATTTGGGGTGGGAGGGTAAGAAAAGTTTTATTGGTGGAGAAGTCACCAACCGAGAAGATACTGCCTCAAATCCATCTCACTCACTGGACTAGATTAAAGGTTTTTAAGGGGTTAGGAGGAATAGGTATTGGAAATGCTGTGGAAGTTTTAATTGGAGGACTTTGGAACTTAGCCATTCATGGTAAGGGGGGTCCACACTGAACCTTCCGGGACACAGACCCTTCACTTCTGAAAGGGTCTGGTGTTGAAGTTCCATTTCTGTCCCTGTCCTTTGGTTTCATGGGTGGGGCAGGGGACGGTCTTTGGTTCCAGTGCAGCTGGAGGTCATTTTCTTCTCTGCACATGCTTCCACTGCATGGCTTGTGGTTTTAGTGTGTTGTCTCCATTACAGAGAATTTTAAACAGACTGTCTAGTCTGTCTCAGTCACACTAGTAACGAGGTCTTTCTGTTGCAAGTAATTGAAAACCATGTCTGCTATTTGACGCCTAATATTTTCAAAGATATAGGTAAATTATGTTCTTGCTTTTGAAATATATGTATTTACTCTTGCCTTTTGCTTTTTTTTATTCTCCTTACTTCAGCAAAAATGTTATTGTAACATTTTTCATTTGGAAAATATCCCAACTTTTTATGCATTTTCCTTGACATAGTTGAACGATTGTAGATTGCCATTATTGCAACATTGTGGGAGCAAATCTGTATTTGTTCCTGTGGCCCACAGCTAAGTAGTGACGAGAACACTAAGGTGCAGAACATCAGGCTGGATTTTCAAGTTTCTTATCCAGAAGTCACTAAATTTTGAATTCTTATCAATTCTATCTCCTGACTAGATCTCTAACCCAGTGTTCCCCAGAATGTTTTCTATGAAAGATTAGCCCTAAAAGAGACTCCTTAAAAAAAAGAATGTGATAGCCAAATAGGTTAGAAAAATGCTGTATTCTATAGCCCTATTACAATTAGGATGCTTTTGGTGACAATCACAGAAAACTGTTTGAAAATGAGTGAACAGTATGGAAAGATCCTGCACTGGATGTCGAGGGGTTTGGGGAAAAGAAGGTACAGTTCAGTCAGAAGACTCAGCATTGTCAGTCTCAGCTCACTCATTCTTTTTGTCACACATACAGAAGAATATGTGATGTAATAAAATGTGACAATGGCGGGGGGGGCAAGGGGGGGAAAATCGGGACCACTGCATTAGCATAATCAGTAAAATACAGTTTTTAAAAATGTGACAGTAGTATAGCACGTCTACCCCTAGGAGCTTCCTGTGTACCCTTTTTCAGTGGCGCCGCTCTCCATTCCCATATATGAAACTTCTGAGTGAGGTATTTAACTCTCTCGATGATTCAGGGCCATAATTTGGACACTGGTTATTGTTGTGTGCTCCTGTAGAGAGTGAAGTGCGTCAGCCGCCTCACCTCTGCCCTAAATGACCCCAGCCCATTGATTGAAATGATCTATTCAGAGGTCCCCCACCAGACAGTGAGCTCAAGGGCATGGATTATATCTTTTTCACCTATTTTCCAAGGGCCAAGCATAAGACTTGGCAAGAAAGGGGGTGCTAATTTATATTTTGTTCTTAGAACCAAATTTCTTACCTAAAAATAGAGGTTGCAGGAAAAGATTAGACTCTGTACGCTGCGGTCTCTGCTAGCTCCAACCTCCTCGCCTACAATGTGTTTTAGCAAATTCATTCGGTTCAAGTGATGTGTACACTTGTATCAGCGGCAGCCTTTTGGTGAGTCACAGGCATGGCGACCCTCGGATGTGCTGCCAGGCTCTCCACGTGGCTGTCAATCCTCAGGTTGCTGTTTCTTAGAAACCATGCTTACCGCTCACCAGAGTTTGTTCTCCTTTTGACAACTGTGAAGGCACTGTTACTCAAACAACCAAAGGATCACTACTCTTGAGCATGATCCTAATAAACAAACTTGTAAATTGGTCTTTAGTCCCAAACAGGCTGGATTCATCTGAGTTGGGTGGAGCGTCTATGATAGCATCTTCTCCAGAGAAGGATCAATGCCAAAACCTTTGTTCTCTCCTGGACTGTTTTGTTCTTTGAAACAATGCTGCTTTGATTTCTCCAATGGGAGCTAGTGCTTCAATTTCCTTAACTGGAAAGAAGTGGAGACTTCATTTCCTGTCTTGGCCTGGCCTGCCGCTGAGTTGTCTTGGCTCCCACCTGTGAGCTTGTGCCTGTGTGGACACACTTCTCCTCACCTATCTCTCCTCCAGCTGCTTAGAGTGGCAACTGAAGCGATGCAAAGGATCACTTTTGGGCCAGGGAGACAAGAGAGTACCACTATACTCCTTGGCCTTGAGCAATTATGTGAGGGCCAGAAGTTTAATGGGTATTGAAACCTTGCTTCAGCAACCTGCGACTCTCTTGCTGGTCTAGCCTGAATTTGCTGGCATTGGAACCAGGTGTTCTTTTCCACAGAAATCAAGTTTCCACTCTTCTGATCACCCACGAGGACTCGGGGGTTCTTCCTGCTGGAATCTCACATTGCAAACAGCTGATCTTCACAGCCCCCTATTCAAGGCAACTTTGAAGCTCTCCGTTGTCACGTGATCTGGCAATGTCTGCTCCCAATGACCGTCATGCTCTAGCAAGTGGCCCCTTGTTCCCTGCAGTGGGGTGGCAAGTGCCCCACAGTTTTTTGGCCCCAGTGAATGGGATCTTTGGAAAGAACTACGACCTTTCACCCAGAGAAAAAAGAGGGGAAGTCACGCATCAGGGCAATTGTTGGCAAGTTGGTAGTTTCGATGGTAGGAAGAAATGAAGAGGATAGAATTGATTCTCGATGAAGTGGAAGCTGAGTCCTAGGACTCAGGGGCTGGGTCTACAGTGCACTCATTGGTGGTCAGCAAGGGGTCCATATCAGGTTGTGTATTAGGGCTCATCAAACTTTAATGTGCTAATGAAGAACCTAGCGCATTAAAGTTTGATCCAGTGGGTCTGCAGTGAGGCCGGCTATTTTGCATTTCTAACAAGCTCTGAGGTGGTACTAGTCCAGAGACTACACTTTGAGTAGCAAGGTTGTATATCATTCTAAATGCATCCTTGCTGGGGGAACACCTAAATTTTTTTTTTTCATAAGGTAGGGTTGGGTGTAAAAAGACAAGGAAAAGGGAGGGGAAAGCCAGAGAAGGCTTAGGGAAAGAGGAGAAGATGTTAAATGGTTATTTTGAAGCGCAGGAAGGTGAACATACCAGGGAAGTAGTAAAGTCTTATGGTGAGAACTTCGAAGGATCTGAATCTTTGGAAGAAAGGAGAGCAGAAGTGGTTGAAAGCACAGGTGTGAAGCAAGGCGAACACTGGCCACACCAGGGCCTTTGGTATGAAAGGAAAAACAGCAGAGGAAGCGCTGGAATCAAGGGACAGCCAGGTTTCCTTCAGAGCAAGAAGGTGACGGGAATATTGAGAGAGAGATTAAGGATACAGGCATGTTTGCTGGTGATAGGCTGTGGGACACACTGTGTGGAGGAAGGAGTCAAGAGAGTGCGGGTGGGGAATTGGGACAAGTTCATAGCTATGGAGAAGTTATGGGGTAAGGGTCCAGGGTGGAGGACCAGGGCACTTAGGCTC